GAAGTGTAGGGGGTGGGTTTCTAGGATATACCCTTTGGTTGATTGATGATGCATGGAGGGGATTGGAACCATGGCAATTAGATGATATACGATGGAATGAATGTAAGACTAAGGTTCTCCCATGTAAACTATCACAGAATTCACAATAAACATTAAAAAAAAAAAAAAGTCAATGACATAGAAGTAATAAGTCCAAAGTGCATAGAGGCACTGGCAAACAACAAGGCACCAGAAACAGATAGAGTACAAATTGAAATCTTTCAACAAACTGATGCCGCACTGGAGGAACTCACTCATCTATACAGGGAAATCTGAAAGACAACGACATGACAAACTGACTGGAAGAGATCCATTATTTGTGCCATTCCAAAAAGAGGTGACCCAACAGAATGCAGAAATCATCAACAATATCATAATATCACATGTAAGTAAAATTTTGCTATAGATAATTTTAAAATGGCTGCAACCACACATTGACAGAGAACTTCCAGAGGTTCAAGCAGGATTCAGAAGAAAACTTGGAATGAGGAATATCTTTGTTGATATCAGATAGATCTTGGACGAAAGCAGAGAATACCAGAAAGATGTTTAATTTGTGCTTTATTGACTACACAAAGCTTTTGATTGTGTGAATCACGACAAGCTAAGGACAACATCGCAGAGAGTAAGTATTCCGTAACACTTAATAGTGCTCATGAGGAGCCTGTACGTAGCCCAAGAGGCAGTTGTTTGTACAGAACAAGTGAACACTGAATGATTTAAAATTAGGAAAGATGTGCACCATGGTCGTATTATTTTACGTATATATTATATAATTATTTAATCTGTATGCTGAGCAAATCATTCAAGAGTCTAAATTTTATGAAGAAAATTGTGACATCAGGGTTACAAGAAGAGTCATTAAGAACCTGCAATATGCAAATGATACAACCTTACTTGGTGAAAGTGATAAAGACTTAAAATATTTAATGCTGAAGATCTAAGACCACAGCCAAAGTAAGGGTCGCACCTCAATGTAAAGAAAACCAAAATCCTCACACTGTACCAACAACATCTCCATAAATAGAGAAAAGACTGAAGTTGTCAACCATCAACATTCATGGAAGCAGCAGTATAGAAATTAAACAACTTATTACATTAGGGAAATCTGCTGCATAAGACTTCTTTAAAGGGACCAAGAGCAAAGATGTCAGTTGGAGGACTAAGGTGTGCCTGGCCCAAACCATGATATTTTCAGTAATCTCAGATTGTTAAAGTTGGACGGTGAATAAGGAAAACCTCAGAATAATTGATGCATTTGAATTTTTGTGTAGGAGAAGAATATTAAACTGCCAAAAGAACAAACCAACTGGTGTTAAAAGAAGTATAGCCAAAATGCTCCTTGGAAGCCAGGATGGCCAGACTTAGTCTTTCATACTTCAGACATATTATTAGGAGAGACCAGTCCCTGGAGAAGGATATCATGTTTGGTAAATTGAAGGACTAGAGAAAAAGGAAGAATCCCAACAAGATGGATTGGCA